GTTTCACGTTAACTTCAGTGCAATCAACTGGTGGTAAGTGGCGAGTAGGTATATGACACAGACCATCAGAGAAGCACACAGTTTCCCACGTAAACAAAAGCACACACAGTGGTTGGCATAGACACACATGCACACAGACGCACAATGGGATGCTGACAGAAGAGTAGTAATTAGGACCATGTACTGTGGATATTCTTGGTACAGTACTGATCAGTGTCATCTGTGTGTGTGTGTGTGTGTTTGCGTGTGTGTAACAGAGAGAAAGAAAGTCTGCTACTGCCGCTGCTGCTGCAGCCCACAGTTTCCATGGTAACGTCGAAACCCATCTTGGTCTCTATGGAAACTTCTGGTTGGCACCCACAGAGATAGAGAGAAAGAGAGATGAGGGGAAGAAAGAGAGAGGAGGTGAAGACGCAGAAGAGAGGGAGGAGATGGAGAAACAGGAAGTGGGGGAGAGAAAAAGAACCAGGAGACAAAGAGTTAACAATTAGTGAGAAAGAAGTGTGTGAGGGTTGTCCACAACTTTATCAAGTGTCAGAGGAGTTGAATTTACCAGCAGTTACAGCTTCACATGAGCTGGGGGTCGGCTTTAGTTGGGGAAGACGTGGTTGTTGGTTCAAATCTCATGAAGACGTGGTGCATATACCTTAACACACTTCATTCCTAGAATATTTCCTTTACAACTTCATCTGCTTTTCATAATTGTGGTATTTGGATATGATGATGATACTGCACTCACCAGATATATTTAAAGATCGTGAGCAGGTCCTACATGAAAAAATATTCCACCCAGCTTGAAAGTTATCCCCTGTATTGTTATTTAATGTTGAATTATGGTCAGTGCAGCTTTCTGACAAGAATTTGCAAAAAAAAAAGACTCTTTCATGTCAGAGTGAAAACATATTTCTGTTTCTATATAGTAACGTCAGTTAATGACTGAATTGAACACCTACGTTTGTTTTTTTACCTCTTCGTGACTACACTTGCATGTGCTGTGGTAAACAAGTTTGGAAACAAGAATGTTGTCATCAATGCACTCCTGCTGCTTTCATGGTTGAATTGTTGGTGCAGTCTCTTTAAGGTGGGTTTTTTTCCCCCCCTTCTTGTGTTCTTCTTGATCTGTAGAAAACTGCTTGAAAGCTACACACATACGTAGACGCACGGGCTATGATGTGTCTGTGGGATCTTTCAAAAGCAGCTTAATGGCTAATCCTGTCTTGCAGCACACACACAAACACAGAAGGTCATCGCAAATGGAAACATCGTCCGCTGTATGGTCGGATGTCGATACTATAATCTGATTGGCCCAGTTGATGGATAGGTGGTTTGGTTGACCTATCACAGTTAACTGAATTATTGCTCCCACATACTCACCTTTCGGTCATTCCGTCTGCCTTCTTTTCCCTCTCTCTCCGTCTCTTTAGTCTGCCTCTCTTCCTTTGCGCTCCTCATCGCTCGCAGTCTCTCATCTTTTCTCTCTCATTTCTTTCCAGTCCCTAACCAAATTAGCCGTGCCCCTTATGGATTTCGCCCTTTATGGGTCTGTATGAATGGAAGCGAAGGAGGAAGGGAAGCGTGTGTGTGTTTTTGTGTGTGTGTCAGGCTAAGCTGTTCCTACCAGATGTTTTTCTTTGTTTTATTCTTCTGAGCGCCGCACTGTCTGCCTGTCACCGGCAGATACACTGCCCGGGTGTGTGTATCTGTCTGAGAGAGAGAGAGTGATAAAGAGCTTTTGAGAGGGAGGATATGTGTGTGTGAGATTAATTACTTCCGCGTAGACTACTAATACTCACAGTGTGGTGGAGGGTCTGCAGTACAGATGATGAATGTAAAAAAAAATAATTTAAAAATCTACTCTACAGGCTGTGAAATTGATACACACACACAACAGAGGAAAAAGAAGACAGGTGTTTAATGTGAAAATCTTGATCTTTATCTTTAAGCTTCTTGTGCCAATAAAGATACACTGGATGGACTTGAATTGCAATGAGCGGGAGGTTGCGGAGACGGGGAGCGAATAAACCAAACAAGTTTAAGGCAGCTTTCTGAGCAGACGGTTCAGGTGCAGAATCCCCTGGCCTAAAAATCAACTTGCCTTTCAAGTTGTCTGTCTTTCAAAGCGTGCAAATCCTCCGAATTAGAATTCATGTCACTTCCTCCACTGTCAAGATGCTTTTCTAAGTGTGGGAAAACACTTCCAAATCGCACTTTATATGATAATGGCATCATTAGGAACCAAAAAAAAAAACAATCAAAGCTTGAGTTGTTTATCAATATCTGACAGTTGTAATCTGGTGTCAGCTCTGATTTTTGAGACAGATTTGATGCAGCGCACTGAAAAACCAAATGAAACACTCATCAAACCCTGTAAAGGAAGTTTGTGGTGCAAACAGGACAGTGGACGGACAGCAGTCATGTCAGAGCTGTGGTTACATGAATGACTAATTCCCATGATCCTGGATGTGTGTGTGTGTGTGTGTGTGTGTGTGTGTGTGTGTGTGTAGCTGCTTGTACGATATCGTCTTTCTCCATTCTGAGCGCTTGTTTGTTTAGCTGGACCTGCTTTACACTCACATCAGCCTTAACAGCACATCTTAATGCAGTCATTGTATACTCGAGCTCATCCAAAACTAACACAGCGTTTTCACTAAAGCAGCATTTTAGCAGATAAAGACTGCACATTTGATTAAAACACATCTGACAGGAAATTCAACTTAATGGTAAACGTTCGGCATATTTAAAGAATAGTATTTTTACGCGTTTTCCAGCAATGATTTGCCGTTAGCGTTGACATTTTGTGTTATTCTTCCTTGAGCAGAATGCCGATGTCAACAGTAGAGTTTATAGGGCTTAATAGCCTCATTCTACTGTTTTCCAAAATGGTCAACAATCAAATAAATAGTGCATTTAGAAAAAAAACTTTAGTAACTATAGGAAAATACGTAATATTGAAAATAAGTTGTCATTGTCGTTACCACAGCATCTTATTCTCCTGGAGCACTAATACATTTGTGTTTAGTTGCATACATTTAGGTTATGAATGTTATTGAAGCTACAAGGAGTTACCTAGTCTTCATATACTTTCTTATTTGCCTCTGAAGACGACCTTAACACAGCCAGACTAAGAGGTTGATATTCTGTTTTTCATTCTTAACACACAGGTACTGTGTATGTGCTTGTAAAAGGCCTTTGTGACATTCTACCTACATTTCAAGAGGCTGACTCAGTGAACTCGTGAAGCTATTTTGGCTGTGACCCTCCCGCTTCAGGTTCAGCTCCTTCTTCCCAGGGATGAGGCTAAAGCCTGGTGAGACCTGGCTGGCCTTGTGTCCCGAACCTCTGGCCCTCTGTGTGCATGTGTCCATGGGAAAACAGCAGGAAGAAGAGGAGGAGCAGGAACTGAGATGGATTGATAGATGGAGATAAATATATTTTTACATTGAAAAAAATTGAAACCTCAGAGGGGCAGAAATCAAAGACAAAATATTGCTTTTGGATATAGAATATTTTTATTTGTACAAAAGTGTTGCATGTTGTGTTGAACGCAGTTTAGCTAGAAACTTTGATTTTTAAAAAATATGGCAGATGATGAGGTGGATGATGAAGTGTTTGCAACTTCACAATGATCAGAAAGTTATATAATGGAGATCGTCTTGGAGGGCCACGTGAGGACATTTCCCAGGACCCCCTTAGGCAGGAGGTCATCACTATGACAACAATCTCTAAGGAATTTTGTAGTAGAAATGCTGCTTGTGTGCGTCTGTTTGTGCATCTATGCATGCTTTTGTGTATGCATGTGCAAATGCACGCGGCCCTCACATCAGACAGCAGCCTCGAAGGACAGGAAGCGAACCACTTTGATTAAATAATCAGAATACTTTGATTGTGTACACGATTACAAGTTAGACAAATACAAGTTCACACATAAATAATCACACACTTAAACACACACACACACACACATAAGCCAGAAGCCACACAAACAGTAACAGAACATCTTGTTCAGCCGGATAAACTCAGAGGAGAAGGCGAGTAAGCAGCCAGCACTGCGAGGACTCACAAGTCATATTCAAGGTCTTCTGTGTTTGTGTGGGAAAAATAAATGATTGTGAATGAATGCATGCGCAGCGGTAGTTAACCTTCTGTACCCGAAGCAGTTGATGTGTGTGTTTGTGTTTGTGTGTGTGTGTATTTGTGTGTGTGTTTGGGTGCTTTTATTTATTTTTTGGCTCATTTGTCACACTTTTACTTAACTTTTACTCTTTTACTCTCTCTGCAATATAAAGTCCTGCACCTCCACGGAAACAGCACAACACAAACTACACAAAAAATAAAACAAAAACAGAAAATAAACCCTCTCTACATATTATACATTTTGAATTTGTTGCCATACTTGTCTCTCATATGCTTTGGGTAAATGCAGCCTGCAGTTCAACCATAAACACTGTGATTTTTTGTCATGTGACTGTTGGTTGCAGCTCTGTTACTATTGACTTTATGGTTGCACTAAGGAGAGTCATGTCGAATAAAGTGGCTGCAGTGATATTATGTATTGTACAATATTATGTTAAACTTTGTTCAGGTTTTCCAGCAGAATGGCATGTCTGATGATTCAATCAGGGACTGTTGGAAATGTGAAAATCCAGCAATTCTTTCTGTTTTTACTGTTTGTAGCGACGATAAATTGCGCAACTTTGCCCATTTTTTAAAAAGATAGCATGATTTTCAAACCAGCAGGTGGGTTTTAGGGATCGGAGGTTTAGGAGTAATTTACTTTTCATAATAATGATAGCTTTAATGAAAATGTATCCACATGTGATAATGAGCAAACTTTATAGCAAAGGGATTTTTTAATATATATATATATATATATATATAATCATCTGACTCTTTCATTGACTTTGTTTTTATCCTTCTCGTATCCCTATTGTCTGTCACACTGTCCTGCAATGCTGCTGCTCAGATAAATAAACAGACTTGTCATGTTTGTGTCTCCACAGGAGCGTGTGGAGTACCTGTTCCTCATCATTTTCACGGTGGAGGCGTTCCTGAAGGTAATAGCCTACGGCCTGCTCTTCCATCCCAACGCCTACCTGAGGAACGGCTGGAATTTGCTCGACTTCATCATCGTAGTTGTAGGGTGAGTGAAATGAAATCACGCCGAAAAGTTTGATCGCGGAAACGGCAAAGGTAGCAAGTCTCGCACAGTGGCAAATTCACAGTCTGTTTCAAGTGCTACCTGACACTTTTGAACATCAGCACATCATTGGCAAATTAATTATAGCACCTTGGTGTAATTACTGTCAACAAATGAAAGTATAGCCAAGACAATTGGCAGCCAGCGATACTCACAGTGCACTCATCTCTCAAAATTAAAGGAAGATCGCATTTCACTTCAACTCCTTTACTTTGCAGAGTAGAGACAAGACAGTTCTGATATTTTCTCTTGTATTTGATGGATTTTTTTCACTTGATTTTAGAAAGAAATGAGTCCCAACCATACACTCATTTAGCATTGCAGGAAACTATAAAAGATCTGACTGCAGTAAAAGAAGAACACACTCAGGAAGTCAAACCTACTGGCATGCAATGTAAACTGTGTTTCTATATGAATAATATCTCAGTATGTGTAGTGTGTAAGTGAAGATAACCACACAACGACTATGCAATAAGTTTTGAAATAAGTATTGTGATAAACAAGGCTTCCTTTAGTTTCCATGAATCTGCGTTGAAGCTGCAGTAAACTTTGGCCTACAGTGTATTGGTGAAGCTTAAACTGATTAGCTTGTGAGATGCTGATAGCAAAGCTCTGGTCTGTTTTTTCTTTATCTGCAACTCAGCAACATAGCCCATCTGCTAAAACCCCCTTTGCCTGTATGCTGTGTGTGTGTGTGTGTGTGTGTGTGTGTTTGTGTGTGCGTCTCTGTGTGTGCCTACATGCATAGTGTGCCTGCCAGCTGTGCTTTGTGTACAGTGTTGTGTTGGGGTAATGGTGCTATAGCCAGTGGACCTGACAGTTACATTAATGCTTTAAAAATGGTCTAATTGACCGTGTGTGTGCGTGTGTGCATGTGCATTTGTGCATATGTGTGCGTGTGTGTGTCTGGGGTAGAGGGAGCACAAGAAAGCGCCCCTCAGCCTGAAGGAAGGGCTCTGCGAATGCACCAACACACACACACACACACACACACACACACACACACACACACACACACTCGGTGCATCTTGTTCATTGCCAGTCAAGTGTTCACTCACATTAGCCATCACTAACTGAGCATGGTTGGCCTGGTCCCATAAACAGACACACACACCATCGGCTGACAACATGGTGCCAGTGCCCCTGGCATAAACACAACCTTTACCACTCTTATGCTGTTATCTACCCTCTCTGTCTGTCTCTCTCTGTTTCTGTCTCTTACTGTCTCCATTTGACTTGTGGCTCTTATTGTGATGCAGCATATTTTAATGTGCAATAATACTGTATTGATTCCTGCAAGCAAATTGTATTTTGCTTGCAGCCTCGCCAAAGGGAGTTCAGAGGGTCAGAAAGAAGCCACAGCTCTAGAATTGGCAGGGTTCAGTGTCTTGCTCAAGGACTTCAGGAGGGTTGGTGCTTGTTGTTTTGGGAGATTGAACCTGGATGACCTCCCAAGACTTCTCCAGGGTTTTAATCCAATTTTCCTTACTTAAATTGTGCAGTTTTCCTTTTTTTCCCCTCTGTTTCACATAGCCAAAATAAGCAAGACATTATCCATTCTGAATTAATTACCAGTAAAAAGAGTCTCACCAGAAAAAATGGTAAAAGCATTTGAAACAACTCTTGTTTACAGGTTTTATGCAAGTGATCTCTTACTGTAAATAGTTTGCATCCAGTTTACTACAAATGCTCATGATAGGAACCATAAAATTACAGTTTAAAAAAGATTCATATATGGTCCTTGGAGCTTCAAATAATAAAAAAAAAGCAACTCGACTTCTATTTTAGGTTCTTGAAGATGTTTCACCTCTCAGCTTCATGTCAGTCTTCAAGAACCTTCAAGAGAAGTCCAGTTGCTTCTTTTTCCTGGAGCTCCATCACCTGGATGACTGAGAATCTAAACTCAAATTGGAACTTGCCATCGATATAAACAGAAAGATGATTTTTTTATTTTTATTTTTTTAATAATTAAATCTAAAAATCAGAGAGGATACACAGATCCAGGACCTGTTCACCTGTGACAGCACTGTATCTCTGTGTACATGAAGGAGTGCTTGCATGTCCCTAACTGCCAGCCTGTGAGTGTGTGAGTGTGTGTGTGTGTGTGTGTGTCTGTGTGCATAGATCAGAAGTGACAAGGGTTCGCTCCCTCTGGAATAGTTGCCATATGGCTGAAAGAGCTTGTACCTGGTGCTGAGCAGCCATCAGAGACTCATGCACCCTCACACACATGCATGCACACATCTATGCACACACACACAGACATGCACGCGCACACACACACACACACACTGATGCTCCTCTTGCTGACATGTACCTAAGAGGTTATTAGTGAAGGTTCAGTGAGCTAACTGGCTGTGTACATGTGTACATATGAACAGCCACTATATGGACTCTTTCTTTAGTCTCTGCTTTACATCGTCCTAGTTCTTCATCTCTTCGTCTTTTTTTTTTCACTTTTCTTTACCCACACATGTATTGTTTTATCGGCTTCCTAATCCTGCTTTTATTTCTTTTCCACCCTGTTTACCAGTTCTGCTTTTTATGCCTTCATGCTCGCAGCAGTCATTATGTCAGCATTATGTTTAACTACATGCACCCATCAATGAGTAGGTTTATCCATCCCAGTTTTGTCAATGTGATATTTCTTGAAAGCATTGAGGGATTTTCTTGAAATCTGGCACAAGCTTTCAGTTGGATGAACTGATTAGATTTTGATGGTCAAAGACTGAGTTCACTGGGATGTCATAACGCATGTTTTTGACCACAACTTAAGAATTCTTGCACTAATTATGAGAACATTTCACACACATGACTAATAAGATAAATGATGTTGTGATAACATTTCGTATCCAAAAGGTCAAAGGTCAGCTATCATATGTGAAGATTCTCAGTCATCCAGGTCATGGTTATTCTTGTAGTTTAGTCGTAGCAGCTGGACTTGCTTGAGGTTCTTGAAGACGTTTCACCTCTCATCCAAGAGGCTTCATGAGTTCTGACTGACTAGTTGGAGGTCCAGATACTTGTATCTATTATATTCTCTTAGAATAGAAGTATCTGGACCTCCAACTACTCAGTCAGAACTGATGAAGCCTCTTGGATGAGAGGTGAAACGTCTTCAAGAACCTCAAGCAAGTCCAGTTGCTACGACTAAACTAGGAGGTCAACTATCATACTGTTCTTCAAAAACACTTTTCTAATTCAACATCACAGCTCAGGAACAGAGGGGAAGATTGTGACTATATTTCACATTTGGTCAGATGACTGATTTGGTGATGCTAAACAAAGGTGCCCTCCTGTTAAATTCCTTGTCTTCACTGCATATACTTAATAAACAGGTCTGAACAAACATGGATGTAAGCTCCACAGGTTGGCAGGGGGAGCTATATTATCATTTCAAAAGTGTAGTAAAGCAGACAATCATTTAAACTCATTTACATTGACAGCAAAACTGTCAGATTTAATTTATTCCAGACTTAAATTTTATATCTTTAGACACTGAACTCTTGTCAGACAGAAGCAGCTATTTTAAAGACGTGACTTTATGAACAGTTTTGTTGTTTTGAAGAACATTTCATTAATTAAAAACCAATAAGTTGTTGAAAGTAATCTGTACATTAATTAACGATTAGAATCAGTAGCAGTTCTGAGTTGAAAATAATTAAATGATTATCTTTTTAAGAAAGTGTGCTGAAGTTGCCATTTTGACTTCTGTGACGCCTCACAGCTTGTGTTATCTTTATGAATGTACACCATTGCAACTATCTATAGCTCTGAATGTACACAAGCCATTCTGTCACGCCACACTCATAGGCTCTAATTATAATTTAACACCCCACAACAACAAAAAAAGCATGCCGGGTAAAATGCTGGTGGTGCAAAATTGTGGATCCTTGACGTGCTCTTCATACTCTGTTTCAAAGGCTGTTTCCCACCGAGAGAGAGCGAGAAACGCAGAGAGAGAGAGAGTTAATCAAATTGAGAGGGAGGTAGTGCGAAATAGAGAGGCTGAGAGAGAGCGTGAGAGGGAGAGAGAGGGCGATATGTTTTGAGAGGCCTTTTCAAGTGGCCATTTCATCTGTGCTAATTGATAATTCTCCATGACTAACGCGCTACTGACTGGCCTTTGAGCCACGCTAGCTGGAAAATGGTATTGTATGGTGATTTCTAAAGGATCTCGGAGAGACAGAGAGAGGAAGGGGAGAATGATAAGCTCAGCTGGACGTACATAAATTCCAGCTTGCAAGCTACTTGCACCAAAGAAATATCTGTAAATAATTTCATAGGGGATAATAGCTAACAAAAGGCAACGGCATAAAAACATATTTAGCCCTTTATTGGAGATTATATTTCCATTATGATGCGTTTGTGCTTGCTTTGTCTTGTTACAGTGTACAGAGAAATATACTGTGGACACCTGAAGATTGAAATGCGATTGCTGATCAGCTTAAACCTAAAATCCATGCGCATTAATAAACTGCTGCGAAAGCCTCCACACTTCTGGGAAGGTTTTCCACAAGATTTTGGAAGCCAGCTGGTGGGATTTGCTCCGATTCAGACATGAGAGCAACAGTGAGGTCGCCACTGATGTTTGAGTGATAATGCCTGGCCCACAGTCAGCGCTGTAATTCATCCCAAGTTCTTGCAGACCAAACTGAGAAAATATGGCTTCATCTCGCTGTGTGCGAGTGCCATGCTGAAAGAGGATGGGACATTTAACTACTGCAGCTACTACAAAACAGTGGTTCCCAACCTTATTGGCTTGTGTCTCCATAAAGCCAAATTGCATGTATCTATGAGTTTTTTTTAAATGCAAAGTTAGAAAAACACCAAAACTGCACCAAAGCATATGGACAGAAGACATTGACATATTTTGACCAGTGCCCATCTATTGTATTGTTAACTGTGACAAGTTCTTACCCAAGTAGATATTTGTGCAAGGCCTCAGCTTAAAGCCAGATGCTTTTGCTCTTATCAACTGTTTAAACCCTTGTGGCACATTTGTCACTGTAATGTAAAGTCTTGCATCTCTATACCACCTTATAATGCCAAATATAAATTAGAAAAATTATACAGATATTTAAATACTTATATTGTTTATTTTGTTTGCACTTGCCTCCTCTCTGCTTTTTTCTAAGCAAAGCCTGCAGTTCACCCCAGTTCAGTCAAAAACTCCCTGAATTTCTGCCACATGATGGATTTCAGTTAGTTTAGTTTCTTACAGCATCCAGTTGATGCAAACAGTTTGTTTTTAAACCATTAGAATATTTAAATCCAGCAATTCTCTCTGTTTTTATAGTTCCTGGCTCTGATATGATCTGGTTCCGTCATGTTTTAAGTACTAGAGACAAGAAATGTTGTGTGGCATGACATAGTATTAGATGTGAGTTATTCGATTCTAAAGTACATTAAAATCAAAGTTTTTCACACTTCCTTGATTAATATAACAGGATTAGAGACTATAGTACATTAAAAATCAAAGTTTTTTTCACACTTAGTTGATTAATATCTATTTTTTTCTGACTTTAACAGTTATTTTCTGTAACTCAACAAAACAGAAAATCTATAAAATAACAGTAAATTGCTCTGAAAACTATAGGTTTTCTGCTGATTCAGTGAAAAACACAGTGACAAGACACAGAGACACAGTGAAAGCTGTAATTTTATTGTCAGTTGTAGAACAAGAACAAATTACTGATTGTAAAAATACAGATTTTTACATTTTTTGCCTGTTTTCTTTATTTCACCGCTCACATGTACACAATACTTTTTACTCTCGTTTTACTACAAACAGTAAATAGTTTTTAAAAACAGACAGTTATGAAACAAGTCGTGGTGGTTTACAGTGTACAGTGAGACTGAAACTCAAACATCTTAACCAGCTGCTCCTTAACATTTCAGTCTATTCAGGGTTAATGAACTTTAAAGTGTCTCCAGTACTAAACAGTGCAACTCCAACATGTAGCGGCTGAGTGAAAGAGGTTTGGACTCTGTGGAGGAGAGTCATGGTGTCAGAGACCCTGTAGAAGGACAGAATCCCTGCTCTGTGATCCAAGTAAACTCCTACTCTGGAGGAAGGACCACCTGAGACGGGAGTTTTTGTTTTGTTGTACAGAAATGCACAGCTCTTGGTGGAACAAAATAAAGACCAGGATTTGTCATTGTCTCCTAATGCACATTCAAATGAACGCCCTGTTTTGCTGATGTTCTTGTATGAAACTGCTACATGAGCTCGATCTCCTCTCCACTCCACCTCCCAGTAACAACGTCCAGTCAGACTCTCTTTACTCAGAACCTGAATCCAGTCAGTGAATCTGTCTGGATGATGAGAATGAGACTGAGGTTGGTTCAAACGTTCTACTTTTCTGTTCCCATCAGATAATACCAGTCGTCTGTGTGCTGTGTTTGGATCCAGAGTGATTTCTTGTGAATATTCTAAGAATCCAGCTCTGGTTGTTGGTTCTGACAGTAAAACATCCACGTCAGTGATGGCCAGTGAGATGGTTGTCCATGCGTCCCTCAAAACGTCCTGTAGTAGATCTCTGAACGCTTCCACAGCTGCTGTCACGTCCTCAAAGTGTCTCAGAGGACGGGTGCTGATGCTGGATAAGTGTGTGGACTCACTGAGTGCTGACACTGAGGGGTGGTTGTGGAGCAGCTGGCTGTGATGTGGTGTCTCTAAGAGCTGCTTCAGCTCAGCGTCTTTCCTCTTCAGATCACTGATCTCCTGCTGCAGCTTCTCCTCCAGCTCTTGGACTCGACTCACTTCAGCCTCCTGCTGGGATCTGATCTGCTGCTTCACCTCAGAGCTTCTCTTCTGGATCAGACGGATCATCTGGGTGAACATCTCCTCACTGTCCTCCACTGTTTTATCAGCAGAGACATTGATGGCCTCCAGCTCCTGTTGAAGCAGCTTCACATCTTTCTCTCTGTCCTGGATTCTCTGATGGATGATCAGTTGAGTCTCCTCCAGCTTCTTTTCTGCTGCAGCTGAGACTATTTTATGGCCTCTATGTTCCCCAATAGAGCAGAGACAACAGATCAGCTGCTGATCAGTGCGACAGAACATCTCCATCACCTCATCATGATGAGAGCAGATGTTCTGCTGGAGGTTCTTGGAGGGCTCCACCAGCTGGTGTTTCTTAAAAGCTGGAGCCTCATAGTGAGGCTGAAGGTGGTTGTCACAGTAGGAGACCAGACAGACCAGACAGGACTTGACAGCCTTCCTCTTCCTCCCAGTGCAGACATCACAGGCCACATCTTCAGCTCCAGCATAGCAGTGATCAGCAGCTTGGAGTCCAGTCGTCTTCAGCTCCTCTACTAACTCTGTTAGTAGGACGTTTTTCCTTAGGTCAGGCCTCGGTTTGAAGGTCTTCCTGCACTGAGGGCAGCTGTAGATTCCCTTACCGTCCTCTGTATTCCAGTGGGCTTTAATACATTTCAGACAGTAGCTGTGTCCACAGAAAGTAGTCACCGGATTCTTCAGCAGATCCAAACAGATGGAACAAGAAATGTTCTCTAAAGTCAGGTTCGATCCTCTCAGAGCCATTTTCTCGTATGAGCAGCGACTGAGTGAGTTTCTGCTTTTATAGAGGTGAAACTAGATAAACCAGTCTGAGCCAGTCAGCTCTCTGGTCACCACATGTTGGTTCCACCCAGTTCAAAGGTCAGAAGGAGGAAACAAAGAAACACTGGACAGACTGGTTCTGGGAGTGGTTTCACTCTGATTCCAGAAAGAGAATCGCTCTGAAAAACTGCAGTGAAACTCCTTTGATCATGAATGTCTACCTGCCACAGGTAACCAGTGTGTGGGCGGCTGTGGCTCAGACGGTAGAGCGAGTCGGTCAGTGATTTTAAGCGCTATGAGATGACTTGTTGTTGTAAATATGCGCTATACAAATAAAATTGAATTGAATTGATTGGAAGGTCGGCAGTCTGATTCCGCCCTGTAACCTGTGTCATGGTCGTTGTGTCCTTAGGCAAGACACCTCACCCACCTTGATTGGTGTGAATGCAGATGAATGGATTATTTGAGGTGGTGGTCGGAGGGGCAGAATGGCAGCCACGCCTCAATCGTAGCTACCACCACCGGTATGAATGTGTGTGAATGAATAATTGACGATCCATTGTATGCGCTTTGAGTGACTCCTTGAGTAAGAAAAGCGCAATATAAATCTAATCAGTTATTATTATTATTATTATTACTACCAGTGTCACTTTAATGGGCTATCATACATATTTTAATTTTTTTGACACTTTCTATTTATGTGTCTTTGAGTTTTTCACACTTTGGTACATTATTATCTGAGTTTTTCAGCTGTTTAGTCCATTAATATCAGGTTTTGACACATTAGTAGATTCATTTAATACTCTGGGACATTAACATCTTGGTTTTTGAACCTTGAATGCATTAACATCCAAGTTGTTGGTCATTTTTAGCCTTAATATCCAGGTTTTTGACAAGGCAGCAAGCTCTTTAATTGTCAGCAGATAAATCAGTGAAGACAAAACAGAACCCACTTCCTTTGGGCAAAGCAGCACATCCCTGTGATTCTACACTATTCCATACAAAGCCAGTAAAAACAACATTCCAAGAAAAGTAAATCAGTTTTGTTGCATCTGGGAAGAGAAAGACCCAGCAATCAGACAATGCATCCAACGGGAGGAGAACACCAGAGAAACCAGGGCTGGTTTCACCTCAACATCCGATATGTGTTGTGCACACAGACACACACAGACACACACACGCTCACTTATAAGCACATTTTAAAGACTGATCCCTTCACTGCAGTCATGCACAGTCTTCTGTTGAGCTGACTGTCAAATCAGTAAAGCCGAATGTCTCACATTTCCTTATCAGTGAAAGACAGAGGGAACAGAAGAAACACTTTCTCTTGTTGTGTTACTAATTAAGCTGTTTTATTTTCTACTGTTGAGATCACTCCAAAAAACACCTAGCGAAACAGGGCAGATGTCTTCACCATTCCCATAACTTTTAAAAACCCCAGTGCTAAACTAGGTTAATGTCTACAATTACAACACTGTTGCTGTTTTATGAATTCTGTTGGAGATGACGTAGGTGGTTCAGTAAGACGAAATGGAAAATGGAGCTATCGATTACAGATATTCATCACTTTTTATGTTATATCCCTGCATGTCTGTATCATTTTTATTGTTTTTTCTCTCTCAGATATTCTCTAGGATGTGGAAATGGGATGTCAACCTGATAACGATGGTTATTGAAGTCATCGCTTTCTGTTGCAGGTTATTCAGCGCGATCTTGGAGCAGGCCACGAAGGGGGACGGGGCCACTCCTATTGGAGGGAAGGCAGCGGGCTTCGATGTCAAGGCTCTGAGAGCATTCAGAGTACTCAGACCACTCAGACTGGTCTCTGGAGTACCGAGTAAGTACTGAGAGAGAGAGAGAAAGAAAGAAAGAAAGAAAGAAAGAAAGAAAGAAAGAAAGAAAGACAGAAAGAAAGAAAGAAAGAAAGAAAGAGAAAGAATGGACGAATGCTCTGGGGCTCAGGTGTGACTGGCTGTTGGTTATGGTGGGGAAAATGAACCACAGATTGCAGCTGATATTGGTATTTGATGTCACATATATGTGCTCAGTGACACATAAATGTACTCGCACACACATCCCCACACACCACACAGAGTCCTCTTGTCCTGTTGTCAGAAATGTAGACGTTATGAGCAGCAGGATGAGTTGTCGGTCAGGTTGTCTAAGGTTGTGACTAAAGGAATCAATAATCCAGAAGGCTAGAAGACACAAAAGGAACAGTCGCTGTGGATGAAAGCTGTGCAAGTGTGCACCAGCGTGTGTCCATTTGGATTACAGTCACAAACAAATGCACAGGACACAAGTGTGCAGCCAGAACTGTGTCGTTTGTTGTAAAAGTATGAGCGCTGCACAGTGTTTAGACTGAATCCTGTCCAACATCACTGGGCATGTGTATTCAGTCGGTGTCATGGCAACTGATCAGTAGCATGTTTGCTAGCCGATTAGCACACAGACCGCTTCCAGTTGCCACGCGCCGCAGAATTTATTATTTATAAAGATAATAATATGTAAATGAACTCCGTAATGAAGCTGTGTGTTCAGGGTTTATGATCAAGTCATCATAACCACACTGATTTCTCACAACTGACAGGAGGACCAAGTAATCAACAAATACCAGAATCAATCCAAGCATTCCTCCGTCATTAATGCCACCCACATTGGCTTTGCGATCACATATACTTCACCAAATTATGTGTAAATAATTGTGCACCCATCTTGTCTCAAATAGAAATTCATACAGATCAGATAGCTTCACTTGAGCTGCAAGATATACATTCTGACTAAAATCCAGCAGAAATAACACTACTGAAGGATTGTCTTTGTCAAGGTGTAACAGTGTATAAAATTCACACTTCACTGACACTTCTGTGGTGAATAAATATATGTAAGTCACTGGTTATCGAAGATGATGAATTCATTACAAGCAAGATGAAATGTACACAATCTGAAGTCATATGATGAGGTGATGTAATCTGTACACACAAAACTATGTGTTTTATTCCATTTCTTGACACATTAATCAGTTAAATAAACCCACATTTTATCCCACAAAGACAAAACATTTCAATTTCTGCTATCTTTCATATTACAAAGTCTTTTCAGCAGCAACATATTCTTGCTGCAGTTCTTGTGAGTTATTAGTATTCAGGGTTCTGAGCCTTTGTCTATCAAAACATTCAGAGAATTAACTGGAAATGTGCATTGCTTGTGAGCAAGTTTGCTTTTGAAACTACCATGTTTTATGTTTTCCCTGAAAAAAGACAATCATTAAAGTCTCAAAGTGGATGATCACACATAGAAAGAACATTAAAGCCTCCAAACAGATACAATATTCAACTTTTAAGAGCTTGCACGGTGATTAGTTGCAACAGTTCTCATACATGATGTACTACAGATGCTTTAAATGAAAGTAGGTCTCTCATATTTTTTTTTTTTTTGAGAAAAGTGAATGATTTATAAAAATGATTTTGTGTCCACCTTTATAAAAGATAAGATAAGCCTTTATTTATCTCACAGAGGAGAAATTCCCAGTGTTGTCAGCAGCAGTACACTCAGATACACACATGATAGACAGAAAGAAATTACATGTAGAAAGCAGTGCAAACATAAGTATAAAAATACACAGAAAAAAGAATAGTGCAAGCATAGAATATAAAAATGTACATTAAAAAACAGTGCAAGTCCAGATATATATGGAAAAAAAATCAATGCAAATACATACATACATGTTGTGTGCAAGTAACCAGTGTAGCATAAACAAATATTTCTAAATATGAATATAAGTATTGTTTGTTGATATATAAAAAATATATATGTGTATGTATTCTTAACCGTTGTATTTGTGCTGCAGGTTTACAGGTAGTGTTGAACTCCATAATCAAAGCCATGGTTCCTCTGCTCCACATTGCCCTGCTGGTCCTCTTCGTCATCATCATCTACGCCATCATCGGCCTGGAGCTCTTCATGGGCAAGATGCACAAGACCTGCGTTCACAACCATACAGGTACACAGTGACACAAAGCAAGGGAGACAGAGAGGATCTATGATTGTGCACTGATGCAGAGATGCAAACATGCATGATCAAACACATGCTTACCACACTTCAGTGCTCATACATTCTGAAACAGGCATTCAGTTATGCGTGAAAGCATACTTCAATATATTCACATGTAGACACACACCAAAAAGATTAACAAAAAGATGAATCACCCCACTGAAGTATCAAAGTGAGCTTGGCTTTATAAACAAGGCAGGAAGAAAACAGAGCGCCTACCTTTAACGGGAACAGTTATCATCACGATTAATTATTCAAAACGTCATGTATGGACTACGAACGATTCGAGCGATAATTGAAACAACAGCTACCATAAATGATTGAAACAGCTTTCAGTGAAGGGCCCCAGGTATAAATGGACTGGAGAGTTATTATGGTGATGCTATAGGTCCCATGAGAGGCATTAGTAAGTGCTGATGGAATACTCTCTCTTATCCTATACATCCCCAGGAGAGCTTGTTTTGTGTAATTAGTGCAACACTTTTCACGTTGATTTTTTTTTTTTTTAACAGCTGCTTTGTTCGGTGTTAGTTCACTGTGTTCCTTTAACCTTTATTCAGAGGTAGTTTTATCTTCTTTTATAGAAATTCTTCTTAGATGTAGATGTGCTGAATTTGTGACTGAGTAGGTTTATTTTCTTGCTGCAGTCAAAGTCAAAACGTTTGGTGACTTTGAACATTTCTGATGCTTAGATGTGCACAAATCCCTCCTGCGAGTGCAAAGGATAAGCAACTGTGCAACAAAAAATAAAAAATAATAGCACATACGAGTCTAAAGTACAAGCCTGTGTCCACAAAACCACAAGGAGAGATGTCATACACAACTCCCTAATAGCATTTTGGTATAAAACAAACAACAAAAAGGATTCAGTCACAAAGTTAAAGTCGTCCTCTCCATAGCAACAACTGTCTGATGGATATCAAAATATAGTTTACCTGAACACTGAATACTATTACCGCAAAAATTGAAAAAAACTGCCTCCAGGGGTCTTATCAATACTGGAAAAAATACAGTGAAAGTTAATGCAGCTATTTACATTTTTAATTGGATTCGTCACACTCGTTTCCTATGTGCTCTGTGTAAACACTGCCTGCAGCTCAGCCCAATTCAGCTGAAAAGTCCAGAAATTGTTGTCCATGACTGACTTTTTGTATAATTTAAAAAAATTTTTACATTAATTCCATTCATCTAAACATCACGTGTGAATAGTTTAAGGACCATAGGAAAGTTTACATGCAAAGATTCGTCGTGTAATAGTGTCAGTTTGATGTTTTTTTTCCCCCCTTTTTGTCCTACTGGCAGGTTTTGGGATTCAGAGGTTTCAGCTAGGGCTTCACAAGCAGTAAACCTATTTCGTCTGCCGGTGCGAAATAAATGTGTCGCTTCCTCGCTCTCCTTTTGTCACAGGCTTCATTGCAGAGGAAAAGCCGGCCCCCTGTGCACCTGATGGCGCTTATGGTCGACACTGTACACAAAATGGAACACAGTGTAAAGTGGGCTGGGAGGGTCCCAACGACGGCATCACCAACTTTGACAACTTCGCCTTTGCCATGTTAACAGTGTTCCAGTGTATAACCATGGAGGGCTGGACGGACGTACTGTACTGGGTGAGTCGGGCACCACAACAGCATGTTTGTGTGTGTGTGTGTGTGTGTGTGTGTGCATGAGTTAGACTTTGTGAGTGTGTGTAGCCACTGTACTGTGTCTGTAACATCAGTGCCACATGAGTGCTTTTGGGAAAAGAATATAAAGCAATAAGCCAGAACGCTTCTCTCGGAGAGGCAGCTATGCACACTCACCCACACAGTGAGCTCACATCTCAGGTTAAATCAATGCAATACACTGTGTAATTGAAGGTTCATTTGGAACGTGTACCACCCAAATGTTCAAGTGAGCACACGTGTGCTGATTCAGCCAAAGTGTTTATCCTTTCCTTAGCAATGTAGTCTTAAAGTGTCGCTGTGTGTTTCATTAAACATAATAAGTAGATACATTTTTTTCCCACTGTTTTACAACTTTGCCATGATGAGACACATGGAGCAGAGCTCGACAGGACTTAAGCACGATTGTGGCAGATTATGTTGGTTACAGTAAACTCCAGGATAGATCACCACCACCAGAAAGCACACGTATCGGACAGATGGAGAACAGTTTTCTTTAGATTTTCAAAAGATGGTTTTCACATAATTTTTTTATGTTAACTATTTTATAATATATTTTAGAATGTGTATATTTCTGATTTTCAGCGTCTCATAAATGATCAATAAATTCATGAGACAGAGCTAAGCATTTATTTAATCCATTATTTATTCATTCATTGTTTATTTCGGGATGCACGGTGGCTCGGTGGTTAGCACTGTTGCCTCGCAGCAAGAAGGTTGCCGGTTTGCGTCCCGGTGAGGACACCCGGGATCTTTCTGCGTGGAGTTTGCATGTTCTCTCCGTGCAGCGTGGGTTCTCTCCGGGTTCTCCGGCTTCCTCCCACACAGTCCAAAAACATGTTGAGGTTAATTGGTGATTCTAAATTGTCTGTAGGTGTGAATGTGAGTGTGCTTGGTTGTCTGTCTCTAAGTGTAGCCCTGTGATAGACTGGTGACCTGTCCAGGGTGTCCCCTGCCTTCACCATAAGTCAGCTGGGATAGACTCCAGCTGAAGAATTTTGTAATTCTAGTTTTAGCCAGACATAGTCAGACATGCACCTAATTATGTGAGAAAAGAATCCAAAATAATATGTATAAAATATACTAGTAGATAGCTAAAGCTGCTAATAAAATATTCTGGGATTTTTTTTTTTTTTTTTTTTGCATCCAGATAAGCAGTTTTTTAAGAGTCTGGAAAAAAAACTGCTTTAAAATTGTGTGTTTAATCAAACCTCTGGGACTTTTAACAATCACTGGAGTTTTATCTTTGGGAGAAATAGATTTTTAGCTTCATGGCTTGAATGTACTGGTAATGCTTGGGAGACAGATAGCTATCAGAAGAGTGATAGTCACGGGTGAATGGAAAATAAATGTCATAATGTGTGGAATGTAACAGCTGAACTGGTGCTCGAATTAGTGACAAACTAACTGAATTTGTTTGTTTGTGTGAGATCTAACATACAATGTGCATACAGCATGTGCGTGTGGGTTGTTTGTGTCATGTATACACATGGAGCAGATAACTTACTAGCTCTACACCCCTTCTACCACTCCTGCTCTGGCTGCTGCAGTTTCTTTCACATTTACAGATGCACAAATACATACACAGCAGTCTTTATAATAACCAGAATGTATTTCTCAGACGTTATATGTACAAATGAGTGAAACACTAAGCCTTCACCAACAGTTGGTTTGCATGGTTCATTAAGTTTGGGACATGCATTTCAATAGTTTCACACGTTTTCATGACGAGAATGACCATCCAGTATCTGCTGATGGCTTAGCAAATGACCACTTTTTACCCCTTTCTGTCCACCAGTCTCCATGTAAATGATAGCTCACAAGTTGACAGATCTGCAAATATTAGACTTTATTATTCTTAACTTTCAATAATAATTATAATAATTGATCAGGTTTATACAGCACTTTTCTAGACACTCAAAGACGCTTTACACTGTCAATGATTCATTCACACACATTCATCCCAGTGGTGGTAGCTGTGATTGTAGCTGCCCTGGGACAGACTGACAGAGGCGTGGCTGCCATTCTGCCCCTCCGACCACCACCTCAAACAATCCATTCATATGCATTCACACCAGGCAAGGCGGGGGAAGTGTCTTGCCAAAGGACACAACGACCATGAAACCGGTTACAGGGCGGAATCAGACCGCCGCCCTTCCGATCATTGATCAACTCACTCTACCACCTGAGCCACAGCCACAACTTCTGAATCTACATCCAGGATAATAACGACGTTCCTTTTATAATCCAATCCTTAAGCTGCTCAGCTTATCTGCACCCTCTCCCACTTCCATCAGCCCTTCTAATGATCCGTCTCCGTTGAATCAATCCTTGATCCAGACAAGCATGTGACATATTTTCCTGCAAATGAATATCCGGGAACAAATCATTGCTATTGATTTCGTCATAACTTTAGAGTCGTGGCGTCTGAATGTGTATTCCTGTAAAGGTCCGTCTACCTTTCCAAGAACAGATTCCTTAAGGGCTTGCGCGACACTTTGCAGACATACTTGGACTAAGAACCACTGACTTGCGAAAGTAGTTGACTATTGTTTAGCATTCTTTATGTGAATTGTTAAGGTCCTGCTCACCTACAGGCAGAAGAAAGTGCACATATGGCCTATTTATCATACAATTCTTGCTATGCCAGGTCTGTCTGCTGCTCTTTTTAACATGCACTGCTTTTTTTCTCCTGCCTGTCATCTTCTTTTTTTTCCCCGCTCTCTAACACACTTTCTGACCTCTACTGCCCCCTCTCATTCACTTCTATGTCAATCCTCTCAAACCCATTCCTCTTATGTGTTTTCTTCTCCTCTCCATTTTGTTCTCATCTATCTCGCCACTCTACACTTTATCTATTTATTAATCTCCTTCTTTTCTCCTTCCCCCTTCTTTCCTCTGCCTCTTCTCTCTCTCAGATGCAGGATGCTATGGGCTATGAGCTGCCATGGGTCTATTTTGTCTCTCTCGTCATCTTCGGCTCTTTTTTCGTTCTCAACCTCGTTCTGGGGGTGTTGAGCGGGTAAGACGTTATGCTGTTGTCATGTGTGTACGCATGTGTGTGTTGTGGCTGAACTCACTGTTTTATATGTGAACAAATGACCGTGTAACAAGACTCCCTGAACCAGATGCAAAAGTGCAAGTTAGGGTTGATTTTTGAGGATTCAGCTAACCAGGAAAGAATCCACGACTTGCCACCATTTACCATTATTATTATTGTTATTAACTGTTGCTAGAGGGCACGTTCACTTTGCCTGACATCCTCTGTTTGACTAGTTTAATATGCCAAATGATGGTCAAATCAGGTGCCAAAAATTATCACTAAGTTGACAAATTGTTAGCATCCATGTGCCGATTGATCCTGATTCTGTGGAGTCATACAAAGAATACATTAGATGTAAATAAGAGCTGTGTCTCACCTCACCAACCCAGCAGTAAAAAACAAAGCTAGACAACCAGAGTCCTCTACAGTCAAGGAAAGATAAACCGACGATCACTGAACTGAGCAAAATCTCTCTCACCTTTCTGTTCCACTCAATCAATCCTTTGTCAAGAGCCTGAGAGGAACACACACGTGTATATACACCCACAAAAAAAAAAAAGCAGTGACGGATCACATGTCTATCCGTTATGTTCATGTCAGTTAGCCACAAGGGGCACAACCTGCCTGTGATGGACAGGTGGACACACACACACACACACACACACACACGCACACAAATCTCACAGGTGTGCTTGATTCCAACACTGGTTTGATTACACACAAAAGCAATCCTCTTCACTGCAACTGCACTGAAACATCAGTGTCGCCTGTGTTGGTTAACATACGTGTCGGTCTCGTGCAAATTAGCAGGCGTCTCTTTGCGTGTGTGTGCCAACAGAGTGAATATATTTGTATGAAGGCATCTGTGTGTGTTATGTTTCAATAAATGCGGCTCCAGCAGGCGAGCTGGGTGCTGTTTTACCTCCGCTTTGCCAAGTCACACTCATTTTAGTACAAGCACCTCCTGGTCTGTCGGGACACACTGGGGTATAAATAATTCACCCCTCAGGTCAGCCATGGAGGTGAAACGCTAAAAAAACTTGCACAACAGGGAAAACAAAATAAGAAAAAAAAGCTCTTCTGAGCACGGAGTGGAGTCTGGAGGAAATATGGCATTAAAGAAGGAAATTATGGGATGGAAGGCTGTACTGAATTAGAAACTGCATTTCTGGAAAGTGTCCATGAAAACATTTGAGATCTCCCAGATATAAATAATTTGCTTATCACAGTTAAAATCATAGCAACAATAATGATGAAGTAATAATAATGGGTTAAACTAAAACGTAATTTAAATGTAGAGCTTTTGAATAAAATCAGCTATCCCTAATTAAATTATTTTAAAACTGACAGCGGATGTTTCGTCATGAGAGCGATAATTAAGTCAAGTCCACTGGAGTCTTGTTGCACAGTCTGCTCATGCACTGTGTCTAACTAAAATGTTGTTTTTCCACAGTGGTTAAGCCGGAAATAGACCAGTGGAAATAAAGTGAATCACTGTTTTTTTAAACTTCAAACCTTTCCTTTTTACAGGAATGCATCTGTTCTGCTTCTTCACACAAATAATAAACTCTGAAGAGGAGTTGCTTTGTTTATCATGTGGGCCTTTCATAGCACTTCCTAGTTATCAGTGCGCTAAAAGGCCAGCTCATTATACCTCACCTGAACCAACCAAAACATCTAATCTTTATTTTTGAACTCCACATTAATAGCTAAGTGAGTCTCACAAATATTATGAAGGCACCATAATCCCAGCAGGGATCCCACAGAAGTAAACGCTTCCGTCTGTTGGGAATTTTCACAAGGATCTAACTCCTTCCCTTGCTCCTTTCTTCCCTCCCCTTTCTCCTACCATTCCTTAAATGCACCTTCCTTTATTTCATTCTTGCCCTCTCGATCAATCCTCTGTCTTCTTGACTTACTTTTCCTCCCTCCATCTTTACCATCCATCCTTCCATCCCTCCTTTCTGCCTCCTCTCCTCGCTCCCTCCCTCTCCTAGGTGAATGACGCAGTAGGTTACAGGTGGCCCTGGGTGTATTTTGTCACCTTAATCATCATCGGATCCTTCTTTGTGCTAAACTTGGTTCTGGGGGTGTTGAGCGGGTAAGGGCAGGGTCAAAGGCCAGCTGAAACTAACTTCTCTTGCTTCCCTTTTTGCTGTTCTTAGAGAGTTTCGCTCCGTCTTTTCTCGGGGGAGCTTCTTCCTGCTGGTTCTAGTGTTTCTGTTTCATTAGTGCAGTGCATGCACAAGAATGTGTTTCTGTACAGTACCATTTGGTGATACTTGTTTTGCAGTACAATGAGCAATGTTTCTTGAACATAGCTTTTTGTTGTTATCATTGTGGCTGAATGGCTCATCTGGTTCCAATGCCACTGAGACCTTTTGGGTATTGTCTCTGCACTGCTGCTTCTATAGAGTAGCACCACTACTGTCGTGCAATGCTCCGTTCTCACCGTCATTTCCATTTAGAACAGGAGATTAAGTGCTGAACACACACAAGCATTTTGGAAAATGACTCCAAGTCAAACACTTCAAGATGCATTACCAGTTTAATTCTGAAAAATCACAGTTTCACATCTTCGATTTATTCTGATGCTGTGATGAACTCTGGAACAGTTTAAGGGAAGTCAAATGTCCCACCTCTGACTGACTGACCTGAATCGGACTTGATACTCCCGGTGATGTGACAATGGCATTGTGGGAAAAATAATAAAAGGTCTATCTGGTCCAAACAGCTTGGGGGGGTTTGGCCGTCTGACTCTTTGTCTGACTTCTGACTAATGATGCTGTCAGCACACTACACCGCCTGACCTTTTACCAACTGGTTCCTGCATGGTGTGTGTGCGGCTCTCAGATTGGCATAATAACTAATGGTTAAACAGGAAGAAGGAGGATGTAGAGACATAAACATAGGGTGTGACTCAGTTTGTCTGCATTCGATGGAATATGTAAATAGAAAGAATAAGGAGAGGGGCTGGCGTGGAAGAGATTGGGGTAGCGAGCGAAGAGGAGAAAAAGAGAATTCAAAGGTGATTTAGGACGGAAAGGTGAGGCAGCGAGAATGGGAAAATAAGCGTGGAGAGAGTTTTGCCCTCACACACACACACACATACAGTATATAAGCACACTGAAATACACAAACACAGATCAATAGGATTCGGTCTCCTGCTAATGTTCTGACAAGCGAGACAATGGCAGTTTGTCCCACTGCTCATTGATCTGTTGTTGTGTGTTTCAGTGTGCAGTCTGTAGTTCCATCTGAGGTTCCATCATTCCTCTAAATTTCACACAGACACTCACACACACAGTCTCGCGGCCACTTTCCAGCCCCACAGACACGCAGCAAAATCAATGAAAATAACACATGACAATCTATAGAGTTTGATTATGTTCACAGTCTCCAGGCAGCGAAACTTAACATTACACACAACATAAAAATCCCTCATGTTTAATTAAAATCTTTGTGATGATTGCGTAATGTAAGATTGGATTATTCAGATGACACTTAAAATGCGAAATTTTTTTCAGACCTTCGGGGCTTTTTAAAAGTTCCAGTTAAATGTTCAAAACCAGGATGACAAAGTGCTCAATAGCTGACTAGCAAGTAATTCCACTGAAAGCTGGAATATTCACAACAGAGAGATATTTGCTGCCTTTATTTTTTAGTGGGCCTTCAATTGTGATTTTCCTTTAATGTTCCCAAACCTCACAGCCTCTGTCGGCTCTCATCCAAATGAATTTTTCTTTTGTTTGAACTGTATTTTTGATTGTAACCTGCCTCTGACCTTCCCCAAGTGAAGTATTTAATCAGATGTTCCTTAAATCTGTCTTTCGTCCCAACACCTGGTTGTAATTTCACCAGATTTGATCGTAATATTTAAACATTTCTCTCTCTTACTGGTGTCATTTCTAGCTATCTTAAAAATCATCGCTGGTTATTTCTTCTTTGTGAACATCACCTTCAAAATGTTTAAAAGTAGGTATTATACTCAATAAACTAAAGGAAATACAATCAATAATAGGTGGTTACACAAGTATTAGAAATTAAAATGGGTCTTTGGAGGTAGTTCTATGCTGATAAAATACTTCTTTTCGCTTGGAGAAATGTTAATGTTCTCAGTTTACCTCTATATTTTCATTCTACCTCCCATTCAACCTCTAACCAAGGTCTCTGGGTAGTGACTGAAAGAATGTGCTGGCAGACAAAAGGTGATGAGCTCAGTGAAGCAGGATGACCTCAGCGCAGAGCCGCTTCTCCTCCAGTTTGACAAGAGCTGAGGTGGTGCAGCTGGTGAGGGCTGCCTTCTTTTGCGCCTCCCTCTGGGGGTTGTACCAAGCACACTGCAACTGGGAAGAGACCCAGGTTAGACCCAGATCACGCTGCAGGAACTCCATCTCCCAGCAGGCCCGGGAGCACCTGGGGGCCCCCCCCACACGCTGCCCTGGGACAGCAGCGACAGTACAGATGAATTAAATTAAAAGTTAGAGACTGCTTTCAGGTCAGTCAGTAGCGGTGTCACAGTTCACGTCCCGACCAGTTCACCAGGCAGAAGTTGGGAAATTTGTGATTACGGTTTTTAATAATTGTCACCCGAGCTCCTTTCACATTGTGTTTATCTGGAAGTTTAATGTGTTTGTTTGAATTGAGTAATATCTTTTATGGAGAGAGTGCTCTATTTGATTGAATTGCATCTTTTGAGTGGGTGACATCTAAACGCTTATCAATAAGGACTTGAAGCTATTATTTTTCATCTACATTTGCACACTAACACTTTTTTCTCCTTTGCAAAACTCTTTTTTTTTTCTCTTCAGCAGGTTTTTCCCTCCTTGCTATTCTAAAGTGTACTCTTCTACATAATCACAATTTTGTCACATGGTATGTTTGGCAAACCTTCAATGCAGATTTTCAGATTCTTTTTTTTTTCTTCCCTCTGTTTCCTGTCTTCCTCTCTATTCCAACTCTCTACCCCCTTGTCCTTTTGTCCTGCTCCCCCCCCTCCCAGAGAGTTTTCCAAGGAAAGAGAGAAGGCCAAGGCACGTGGTGACTTCCAGAAACTCAGAGAAAAACAGCAACTGGAGGAAGACCTCAAGGTAGGCTGCTGTGTGAGAGTTTGAGCATGTGTTTATGCGATTTAGGTTCCTTTCTGGAAGAGGATGGAACAGACTCCACCCACTACTTAGATTCACTGAGTATTGTAAGAGTAAAGAAACTGAAATTTTAAAGCCCCCAGTTGCTCAATCTGAAAACTACACGTCACTGTTACATTTGTAAATTCAAGCAAGGTCACAACATGTGCATAATTATGTAATATCGAACTCTTACAGCTAAATGCATAGAAATCAGTGCAAACTTTAGGTATAAGTCACTTTTTATAGAAGAAATCAAAGATGCACACAAAGAAAAAGCATAAAAATGTAACACTGGTAAAGTAGTTTTAATGTTGTAACTACAGTCGTCCTCAGATGTATTCATACACTTCCATTAAAGAAAGGGCAAAATTCACAATAGTCACTTAAATAACTAGAAACTGAAAAAAGTAATAAGTCATAAAAATTTGCTAAATTATAATTTAGTGAAATAAGCTTTTGCTTTTGAATTGTGGGTGAAAAGAATAATAATAATAAATTTTTTAAAAAAAACTGTCCCAGACAAATCAAGAAACCCAATAAATGTCATTGATAACATTCCAAACAGATGTCAGATGACTATAGGTCATTTGTTCATTCTGAGTGCTAAGCAGTCACTGTTTTCCTTTTCTGTGTGTGGATGTAGGGCTATTTAGACTGGATCACTCAGGCTGAAGACATTGACCCAGAGAATGAAGAGGAGGGCATGGACGATGACAAACCCAGAAACTGTGAGTACTACAATGTTTGTGTGTTTTCAACAATAATAGAAGGCTAGTTTGTCATGAGGATGTCTGTGCATGTGTTTGTGTGTTTGTGTGACGTATCAATTATTAATTTGTTTCACTGGCTGTTGGGTTATTCTGTATTCTGGCTACAGTAGGACTTTCTTCAAGAGACGCTGGTTGCATTTGGAGATATTTTGTGTTTGCTGCAGTACAAAGTTGTGACGATAGCTGTGTTTCGGTGTGTTCTATCTAGCGTTTGGTCTCAAAGTAGCGTGCCTTCACATGATAGTTGCACAGTCAGTGAATGAACAACTGACTTACTGGCAGACTGACTGACAGACTGAGAAGATATTAATATTGTCTGCTTGCTTTGGCGGCTGAGAATCCTCCTGAGGTTTAAAACCTGTTTAGATATTAGTAGAATGTGTCAGACTACAGCTAATAGCCTCTGGGCACACACTCTCATACACACAACAAACACACACACACTCCTGCACCTATGCAAACACGTACACACACTCATATTGTAGGTATACGCCCTTAGGAATTTGTGTACTTGCGATGTGACAGAAACGCACGCACAAATTAACACCCTGTCTCTGCTCATAACACCTCCAGAGAGAGAGGCAGCCACACGTCTCCCCAGGACTGAGCTACATTTCCTGGGGAGGCAGAGTAGAGCACCAGCCTCTTTTAACCTGGAGGTTTGATCTCAGAAGGATGAACGGAACTTGAGAGAGGGATAGTAAGGAAAAAGGGGAAGTGATCCGACAAAAACAAACGTGCCTCTGTGCTATTTTCGTGCACATACATGTACAGTATGTACTGTGAACTATTTTATGAAGTCGAGGAGCTCAGCTTTCTCACACTGGTGATGAATGAATACATAACGACGACTAAATATGCAGAGACAGAGCACGGATTCTGCATATATTCTGCATACAGCCTGCTCATCTCCCACAAAGCGCCCAGGCTCATTCTGAGAAACACTGACGACTGCCAAGAGAGGAAGCAAGAAAGAAAGGGAGAAAAAAAAAATCCAATGATGATCTAATCTTTCAGTGAATCTCAAGAAAATTAACATGGTCAAATGAGTAATGACCCAATTTACATGAAAACAAGGCACAACACCCCTGCGGCTAATCCGTAGCAAATCTGCTTGTTTTTCACCTGTTACCGTCACGTTCCCCTAGGCCAATCAGTCTGGCACAAACACACCAGCAGTGTGTGAGACATCGGCACATTAAAAAACAAACAAATACAGTATGTGGCCAATTTAGAAAAATGTCACCTCCCAATATTTACATGCTTATTACCTTTAACTTTGACAAATTGTGCATCAGTCATAATATTTAATGTCCAAACAAGGACAGACTGTGCAAGTTCTCGATCCGGTAAACACATACATATGGTTCTTAGTGAAATCAAACAAATCACGCAGAGGATATAAGAATTCACAAACTGTGTGAATCAGTCACCGGCAATAGTCAGATTTTTATTAGATTATATCATTCATTAGGTGTAGACGACAAAATGATTAATACGTATGATTCAAAGTTCTCCGTCAGAAGGATCAATCATCCCTCTGTTTGTGAAGGTGAAAAATCAAGTCGCTTGGCCTCTCTATCGCGCCGCCTCCCCCTCCTCGATGGATGGGTCCTCCCGTGAGAAGATGAATGAGGGCAGTTTGTCCCTGCTGCCCAGGACGTTTTGGATAGACTCGTGTATGCACAGCACACCTATGTATGTCCTGAGAAACCATGGAGAATAGAGGAGAAGATAGCAGAGAGATGGAGGGAACGCTAGATGTAGACACAAAGGGGTAGAAGTAGAGTAGACAGAGATTTCATAGCATGGTTATAGTGTGTGTGTGTGTGTGTTTGGCAGAAAATAGTGATTCCTTATTTTCACTTTTTTTTAAAAATAATTGCAGGATTGAGTTTGCATTCTTCGTGGTCTGCTAAAACATGGTGGTTGTTTTTAGTGAGCTTGCACTCTGAACCAGGAAGTACTCAACTATGAAAATACATGCAACATATGTGACATGCAGCATATGTTGAGTCTCCTCTGCACATTTGCATATGTTTCCTGTCATCTCAGGGGCACACTGGGTGCGTCTGTGTGTGTGTCTTGCATGCTTCTCCCCCTCGACCGTCTTGTTCTAGCATCCTGCTGTCTGTGGTAGAACTGTCTCCAGCTCACCTGCATAAGAAGACCAGTGAGCCCACCTGGTTCAGTCCTTCTAGTCGCCCTCAGGACGTCTTGTGTGACTTGTGTTTTCATGTCTATTTGGGTTTGATCGGGCATGTGTATATCAAAAACCCTTGGCCATTCTTTTTTTTTTTAATTCCCACTTTCACTTTCGCAATTTTAGTCCATAACTGCTGCAAAATTTGAAGTCCAACATGAGCAGCCTTGTCCTTTATAGATTAGAGACACTTGGAAGAATTCTGAAACACAGTTAGTCTCTTTATTCTTATCACCAGCCCAGAGTGGGATTTGAAAAACAAAGAACTGGCTTTTTTTTTTTTTTCCCTTAAACTGTAAATTAGGAAGTAAATAACAGCCTTACAACACTGAGTCAGTCAATGACACTGATGGTATTGAACCTGCTCTAAAAATCCTCCACTGCAACTCACAGTAATGAAGCACAACAATGATGCATCCGTTGTATTTGTACTAATGTGAACGTGCCACTTTTGGCAACCTTAGAGAGATGCTGTTTTTAGAGCGTCTGTTCCCAGTAGCAAGGAGGTAAAATGTTACAGGCGACTGTTTTGGTTTAAATGAACTTGGTAAATGGCAGTGATTCAGAAGTAAAGTCGGGAGTGCTTCCAGTCATGATGCCCTCTTAACATAACATCTAACCTCAGGGCCACCTATGAAATATGTGGAGGATGTGACTTGAAAGAAAGATGTTAGGGCGGCTACTTCCTTTTCATACCGCTGTGTAGATCAGCAGGACAGAAGTCAGGACTGAAAAAGACCATTTTAACAAAGCTGTATCTGTCCATTTCATGATGGCAGTCATGGAGATGTATGTTGCAGAGGTGTAGTCTGCATTCGGCTGCAGCAGATTTAATATATGTCCTTTTTAAAGTATCAACCATTTCTATTATGCTTAGTTGTGTTTCCTGTGTGTCGGACACTGAAGCCTTGCTTTTTCAACTTGTGATATGATATATGTGTGTGTTTGCTGTAAGGAAGCACATTTGCCGTAAATACAGAAAGTAACGTAAAACGTGTTTTAACAGCTTATCGCGATTGGTGTGAGATAATGTGATAAGTGTGGTTGTAAGGAATAAAGCTAGATTGTAACACTCTCTTTATCAGGACATCATACTAGTAAATTTAATTATTATTCCATCTTTGTTTGCATGTATAGCCCACATCTGTTTTTTTTTTTAATGTTTCTCAATAAATGTCCTCATATATACTTTCCACCAACACTGTGAAACCTGTTTAGAGGCTTTACCTGTTGTGTGTCTGCGTGTGAGTGTGTACATCCTTCTGAAAATGGCTGTTTCATTTATCATTTATAGCTTTAACAATCCTGCAGTGATTGCATAATTTCTGTGGATATTTGTACGATTGTCTACAGTTGGATCCATGTCTATATACTTCACGTTTGCTCGACTGAATGTTTCACATCTGTTTATGTAACTTTTTCAAATTTCTACCCCTGCACAAAGGGACTCTTGAAAGAATATTGCTCATGACACTCAGGAGAGTTGCATTTAAATCACAGAAAAAAAGTAGAACTCAGCAAAATAGTGACCCCAGTATGGAGGTGTATGTGATGTAAAGAGTGTAAGAGAGACAACAAGTGTTTGGTAGACTAGGCAGACAATTATATCGTGTAGCTACCAGCAAGTCGTAACTGACTTCCTCAAGTTTCAAGTGACAACATTTCTGTCTTTCCTGCTTTCTATTTCTCACTCTCTCTCTTTCATTATCTCTGTCTGGTACTTTCTTTCTGTATTGTAGAACTCAAAGTCACGCACTGAAATAGAGATGAAAAGACTAAATGGTGAAATGAGAGAAACAGACATGCCCTCATGCCAGTAACACCAGTAACACATTTCAAGTTGTAGCAACGAAACGAGGTGTGACCGCAACGAGGGGATGTCGTTTTGCAGGAGAAACGGTGTTTCTGTGCAGCAGGTTCCAGAGCCACGTGATTATTTGTGTTTCCGTGTGTAGTCTGTGTGCATTTCTCTCTTGTGTGATCGAGCCTACTTGTGTGTACCCCTACATATGTGTGTGTTTGTCTTGCTGAGCCGTGCTCTCTATCCCCAGGTAAGAACCATCGTTTTCTGTCTCTGCGCGGAGCCGTGAAGAAAAATGCGGCTTTCCTTCGTAAGGCGTGTGCGTCTGTCTGCATGGTCCAACACTAGTTAAAGATTTGCTGGAAGCGTGATTCTAGACATGCAAGCAGACTGCAACCTCTCTGCTCTTTTCTACCCCTATACTTTTTTTCTTTTTTCTTTTTTTTTTCGTTCCTCTCCTCTTAGTCCACTCCCCCTCCATTGTAGTAAGCACCTTTCTATGCCCCTTTCCAGAGCTTCAAACCATAAGTGGGTAGCAGCTGCCTCTCAACACTGTTAAGTAGTTTATTCTCATTGTCTTCCTCTCTCCTTACGTACACCTACCATTGAGCAATAATTGAATCTCAAGGCCATGTGTATTAATATTGTCTCACAGCGGAGACATGCCCCCAATTACTGCCCCATGCCAAATTGCATGCCTTTATTGCATTAAACTTTCAATTATATATAATCAAAAAGTTGCAAAATATCAGTACAGGGAATGAGGAGACAAGGAGAATACGTTACTGTATTGAGACGAAACAACTTTTTGTAGGAAAGGAAACAACGTGCATCTGCCTGACTCGTCTGAAAAAATAACAAGAGGATAATGTCATCACAGAAAACGAGCGGCGAGCTGCTCACACACCTAAAAACGCGATCAACGCCTGTGATGTCACCGTCCTCTCCTTGTTGTTTCAGATTCCTTTCCCTAAAGTCCCCCCCTGCATCATTAGTAGCCTTGCTAGCTCTGATAATAAAATATGATGGAGGAAGAGCTGTAACATGTGAATTTTAGCATTTTTGTTTTGTTTTAAAATAACTTTCACCAGGTGCTTGCCACACTGTTGAGCAGAAATGTAAGTCATTGGCACTTCTCAGTTTGGGTAGCATGTCCAAGGTATTGAGTGTTGAATTTTTACATCATAGTGAGTTGTTCAGGAGTGATTTTAAATCCCAGTTTAATGCGGCAATTGTGTGAGGAGCAAGACAGGCTGCAAACTAAATAAAACAGTTCAAATTATTATGTCAAATTACAACGAGACTGCATGAAAAACCTTCTGCTCTGAAATTTAGAATTAGAAAATTAGAATTTATGTTTCTTAAGGTTTTTTTTTTTTTTTTTTTTTACTTTGCTTGAGATATCAGAAAATGACTTTTGGTGGTTATGACACGGGCCATTAATATCTATTTTATGTCGACACAGACACAAATCAGATCCGTACACTCAAATCAAATCTCTTTATCATCATTCACATTCATACATCCGACTGTAGGTCACTTACATTGAACAAAAATATAAACGCAGCAGGCAAATGTACTTCTTTTCTGACCAAGAGGAAAAAGTTCAACATTTGGTAAAATGATTAAACCCTGAAAGGTTTATTTTATCCAACAAAGTGGTTTTGAGCTGTTTGAGTTCATCCACATGATGGTCAGTTGTGGCTTTAAACGACTGACATAGTGTGACGAGTCCAACACAAAGCCACAGATGACTGGAGAAACAAGGAAATGGACTGTTGACATGCTGGATGCTGCATGTCTGTTGGAGCTGCAGCCAGCCACTTGAATGTCCACAGCTCTGCCATTTGTCATCTATGAGATAGTTTGGCTCTGGCTGGATGTGTCTGACAATGGGATTCTGTCCCACTAACTTGGCCAACTAATTCAGGAAGAGCGGGACAACGTTTCATATCATGAACAACCTCAATAACTCTGTGCTGCCGACTTGTGTTCCCTGATCTGTGACCCCATCACAGTCGCCTGTTATCACTTCCAGTACAGAGCATCAGTCCTGTTGTGTTGGAACAATACACGCTTATTCCTCTGTGTCAAAAAGAACGGATAGAATTTAATAAACAATTACCTGCTGCGTTTATATTTTTGTTTTAGAGACAGTACTACTATTTAATGTTTCAGCACACTGACCCACACCATCACTAAATCCCTCTTTCTGTTTAAATATATGACCGTTTCCTGTCTTTCTCATTCCCTCCTTTCATTATAGCTCTCCCTCCCAGTGTTCCTTTTCCTTCTCCATCTCCTTCCGTGTCTCTGTGTCTCAGGTCTTTGGGGTTTACTCTAACAATAGGTATTAAACTAGTTCAGAGCTCCACTGAGGGGACGGCACCAGGCCGCTTTTATATTTGAAAGGCTCTAGCCTCGGGAGAGACCAGAGGGCCCCGAGTGCTTTTAACTAAGTAGCATAGCAGCAGGTGGCACGTGTCGAGGTGAGGAAAAATACAGCGTGTTCACAGCAGAGGCCTTCATGTTGAGAGAGACCATCCCAGTCTCTACAACACTGAACCCATTTATCACCAGCCGTGTGTCACAGTGCACTGGCCGGATACACTGTTCACTCACTGTACTTTGAAATATTACCGTAGCTAAGTGCTTACAAGTCATCTCATGAGGCTGTCTTCTAATTTATATTCAACCAGTGCAACCAGTCATTGTGAAAACATGAATTTTATGTAGATTTCTAAATTTTCCCATTAGCAAATCTCCACGAAACACCATTAAAATGTTGGGATCAAGTTGAGAGAAAAGAAAAAAGCAGCAAAAAAACCAGTCAAGATTGTGATTATTTAGTGTTTTAAAGTGCCCTCTCCTCTCAAGTGCTGATCATGCTCCTAAATTTTCCCATTAGCAAATCTCCACGAAACACCATTAAAATGTTGGGATCAAGTTGAGAGAAAAGAAAAAAGCATCAAAAAAACCAGTCAAGATTGTGATTATTTAGTGTTTTAAAGTGCCCTCTCGTCTCAAGTGCTGATCATGCTCCTTGATTTCTTGTGAGGAGATGATTTGCTTGAGTAGGTTTTGCTTTTTTACCAGTGGGTGTGTTATTTTAACACAAGAGGCATTGATATTCATACGCTGTATCTGACTCCGGTACCCAGAGGGTGTTACAATAAGTGTTTGAGGTGACAGTAAGGCGAACGCAGCTCATTCCCGCCAGCAGGCACAGACTGACAGAAGCAATAAAAAGCAATGTATCATTTCATATCCGTCTCTCAACCAGCCATCTCCACATTCTTCCATTTCTCTCTCTCTCTCTCTCTCTCCCTCCATACACGCCTCCCTCGGAGCTTCCATTACTCTCTACCCCTCAATCCCACTTCTCTATTTTCCAGTCCATCCTTCATTTATTTTCCCCCTATATTACACTTTTCCATCCATACATGCCAGTTTATATCACTGCTGCCATTAGCCTACAGCGAAATCCCCCCATTTCTGCCCCAGTTTTCCCCTAATGTTCATCCTTCTTTACACGTCATCATTTGTCTTTAAATAAGGACAAAGTGACACATTTGCACTCTTCTTCTGGTGTTATAAACAAAAACAAGACTGGACTTTTCACCGATTTACACAAAAAGATCTTTAGAGCAAGTTAATTTTTTTTCTTTGTCAAACACTACAATTAAACCCTCCACAGTGTTTGCAGACTGAAATCTACATCATGTTTTTAGTTTTTATTTAATCTCCACAGGCTGTAAAATCACAAAAAATGCGTTTTTGTTAATTCACTCAGAGTTAAGCAATCCCTCAGCTTAGAGCCTGAAATCCTTCTCAAATAGCTGTTGCAGAGGTTGCGTCCCAGGATCCCTGACTGGTAAATATTGCTAGTATGGCAACTCAGTGTGCAATTACTTTTGGCAATCAGTGCAAAATGTGGGAATGGTTTCACCGACTAAAGGGTCCGTGTGTCTTAATTAGTGGGCTTGGACAATGCTGACTTGTTAATCCCAATGTGTGAACAGCATTTTTAATTAGCTTGTATACTGGAGCAAGATAACTTTAATAATTTTAGGAAAAGATCTTAAAGAAATCAGATTTTTAAGTATGGGATGCAGCTCCTCAGTGCAAACCTAAAGAAGAGTGCTCTTTCAAGTGTGTTTTTGCAGCAGTGCACTTGAAAACGTATCTTTGGGAGTCTAGAGTGTTTTGAGGTTTAGTGCAAAAAGAATGATGTGCGACCCATTTGCCTTTCTGGCTAATTCATCTTTCTTTTTTTTTTCTGTTTTTTTTTTTCTCTTCTCTTGTCTCTCTCTACCTCTGTCATCTGTTTTTTCTCTGCTACTGCTCATCTCCGTCTCTCAGTGAGCATGCCAGCCAGCGAGAATGAATCAGTCAACACAGACAACGCCCCCGGGGGAGACGTGGAGGGGGAGACCTGCTGTACCCGGCTAGCGTAAGTACCTCACCCACTCCCTCTCTCTCTCTCTCTCTTTCTCTCACACTCACATCTTCTCCTCCCTCTATCCTTCAGCTGTCACAAGTCCCCCTTCTGTCAATCTCAAGGATGAACTCCGTCCTGCATGGTTTCTGCTATATAAGACTATTCGGTGGTACAAGTGGCTCAACTTGCCTCAATCCTTCACTGATCTCACAAAGCCAGACCTCTGTCTCGTCAGGCTCACTGATGCACCGAAGGTCGTTAGAGGAGAATGGCAGTAAAGGTTGTCAATATTCTCCACACTGATCAAAATTTTATAGGATGAACTTGGACGGATCAGAGCAGAGGTGCCGGTCCCAGAGGTGGTCTTTTTCATTTTCACAGCCAATGAAGTTTAATTATTTCCAAACGTCTGTCACCTTTATCAACTGTAGGTCAAACGAAGAGGAATTAATTCTAGACTTACACCTCATATGTTTTTGTCATCGTTGGTGCAGTGGCAGCCGCTGTGCGCTGTACTTTTGTTGCCGACACAACCATATGGATGTTTTGAAACTAGTTGTTGAATCCCATTTTCAGCTGATAAATGATTTTAATCTTGTGTTTCATTTTTAACCCTCCATACCACAGAACCAGGGTTTGAAAAGTGCATTATCTTTTTTAAAAAATCCCCACAAATACACCATTTGCAACAACCAGAAAATTGCAAAATAGAAAGAATTGTTAGATTTTCTAGCTTTTGGTTTTGTCGGGAACATTAATCAAACTCT